GGAAGCGCACAGTGAGTGGGGGAAGCGCACAGTGAGTGGGGGGAAGCGCACAGTGAGTGGAGGGAAATGCACAGTGAGTGGGGGGAAATGCACAGTGAGTGGGGGGGAGCACAGTGAGTGGGGGGGAGCACCACGGGGAGCATCGTGGGTGGGGGAAAGATCGTGTCTCACTTTGAAAAGAGGATGTTGTAATAGCGAAGCCATTCTGGGTGATTGGGGTGGAGCTCACTGGACAGCCGGATCCTGATTCTCACTTTGTCATCACTTTCAGTCTGGCTGACAAGTTCCATTTCCTAAGATTTCAAACAGAACAAGGTGTGAGGGATGCTGGGGAGACAGCTCAGTCAGTGAATTACTTGCTGAGCAAGCATGAGGACCTGAATTCAGTTCCCAGTTCTGGCCTCATATGTATACACACCTGTACATATATAAGAACACACCCACACACTTTAAAGCAAACAAAAAATGGAGGTATTCAAGAAAACTAGGTCCCACTGAATGACAGAAAACACACCACTCGATTCCCCACACCAAGGTGGCGGTTTCTTCTCATGTTCAGAAAACACAATCTATAGATGTAAGCACCACAATATTAAACTTAAACTATCTTTTTACTTAAGCTTCTGAAAGGAATTGGTTTGACCAAGCAATATAAATTTTAAGCTGGAAGAAAAATGAAAAATATATATATATAAAGTAGTGCCCTGTCCAAACTTATATTGGATGAAGTTCATAATGAAACAAAGGTTTATGTGTGTATGTGTGTGTGCGTGCATTTGTATGTTTTGAGAGAGAGAGAGAGAGAGAGAGAGAGAGAGAGAGAGAGAGAGAGAAGAGAGAGCAGCCCCACAATTGAGGTCCTGGTTACTATTGTTCAGAAGATTCTTAGAAAACTGTTGCAAACATTACTTAACCGAATGTTGTAGCCTCCGAGGTAAGAGCAATGAGTTTCCATCGAATATGTGGCAGTTGCCAAGTATAGACTTATGTTTGAGCAGTAAATCTGTGCGGATAGCCATATCCTTTATGTCAGGTTGGTAATCAATATTGTACTTATATGCGATTTCATGGCCACAGGTTACTTGGTAATGGTTTGTCTGTAGTTTAATCACTTGGCCTCCCGTCCCTAGAAAGCAAGGCACATTACTTTAGACCAGTGGTCCTCAATTTGGGGGTCAAAGAACCCTTTCACAGAGGTTGCCTAAGACTATCAGAAAACACAGGTATTAACATATTCATAACAGAAATATTAACATTAACATATTCACAACAGTAGCAAAATTAGTCATAAAGTAGAATGAGATAGTTTTATGGTTAGGGTCACCACAACATGAGGAATTAATGAGGGTCACAGCATTACGAAAGCTGAGAACCACTGCTTTAGACACTGTAAGTGGGAAGAAAAAAAAGCACACAACCCATCCAGACCCCTACACCAGACCATCACATCTGAAAGTGACGCTGTCACACAATCCGTGGGGAACCTGTTACCTGTTGTACATGGTGACTGCTCGAAGCTGTAGGGAATCTTTTAAATACATATTATCATTTCTTCTGCATGTGTGGTGTGTGCTTGTCTGGGCGTGTAAGTGCAGTCACACAAATGCCACAGGAAGGGCAGAGGACAGCTGTGAGCATTGGACCTGACACCTGTTTGAAGCACCGTCTCTGTTGCTCTCCACTGTGTGTGCCCTGCTAGCTGGTCTGGGAGCTTTAGGGGCTTCCCCTGTCTCCACTTTCCAAGTCTTGCTATAGGAGGACTGGGAGACTGGGACCACACACACACACAAACACACACACACACACACACACCTGCATACTACTTTATGTGGGCTCCAGGGATTTGAACTCATACGTGCACAGAAAGCATGTTTTCCCATCCTGAGCCTCCTCTCCAGATGTTTGTAACACTACTTAGCTTTACATTTCAACTTAAAATAATAGTTTTATAGGATTCCTCTCGAGGTCAGCGTACCTGTCTTTGTGCACAGAAAGCATGTTTTCCCATCCTGAGCCTCCTCTCCAGATGTTTGTAACACTACTTAGCTTTACATTTCAACTTAAAATAATAGTTTTATAGGATTCCTCTCGAGGTCAGCGTACCTGTCTTTGAATCTTTAACGTGCTTCATGTCCTTCCTGGTATTCACCACAATGTCTTGGAAGATTCCACCATAAGGCCTCTGACTCAGCTCCTTTGTTATGGCTGTGGCGTGGTGTTCTACACAGGAACAAATACACACAACAAACGGGGAATCAGGGGTTTGAAGAGAGCCTGGTGCCTGGAGCACACACTGCTCACTGTTCCTACAGGAGACCAGGTATGGTTCCTAGCATTTCTGTTGGACAGCTAGCAACCACCTAGAACTCCCGCTTCAGGAAGTCGATGCACTCTTCTGGCCTCCTTGGGCACCTGCACACACATGCACATACCCCCACACAGACACATTCTTAAAAATAAAAAAGTTAAATCTTTTAAAAATACAACAGATTATGTTAAGCCTCAGCTAGAAACAAAACAGTCAAGAGTGTGAAAGACGGAGAAGCTTGCCAAAATCTCTGCCAACAACTCCTCAGCTTGCACAGTGGCACCCTGGAAAGTTGATTCCTGCTCCCAAATCCATCACTCATTCACTATGGGATGCGTAAGCCAGCAGCCTAGGCAGTACATGCCCTCTTATGGGCACCAGAATGCACCAACCAAAGGTTTAAATTCAGGCTTTCCAAACAAAAGGACAGAATACTCTTTTTACCAAGAGCAATGGGGGATGGGAATTCCCCCATTTTTATTACACTGAGATGCATGTAGCGCACACATAGTATATAGATGCATGTAGTTTTAAATGTTTATTCGGCAGCGGCTAGGTCCTAACCGTGTGCAGTTGTGAGCTGAAGAGATTCACTTTGTGAACTCTGACCTCGCTGGTCAAGGGTGCCTGGGACCCAAGTGTTCCAGAAGCCTCACAGCTCAAGTCCCAGCTCCTGAGGGTGGATCTTCTCCAGCCCCAGAGCTGGCACTTCTACCACAGAAAACATTCTTCCATATATGAAATCTGGAGCAACTGTGTCAATGCGGAGAGTTCCTGGATACCCTGTGCACAGACCCAGACAGGAAACTACACCGCGGGCACCCTTCAATCAGACCACAGCTCTAGGGAAATGCCATGAGGTGGGCATTACGAATTCAAATTTACATCTGCATCTCATGGGTTCCGTGTTTCTTGTCAGTGAAGAGAATATCTGCTAATACCTTTCACGTTTTGTTTTGGTTTTTTAAGACAGCTTCCCTCCATGTAGCTCATGAGGGTCTCAGCTTTTGATCCTTCTGTCTCCGGCTCCCAAGGGCTGACATTATAGGCATGAGCCATGGGGTATGGCTCATTTATACTTATTTTTGAATATTTAAAATGTTGGCCAGACATGGTGACAGACCTCTGAAACATTCATGGTGGCGCACAAACACCCATATCCATATGCAGGTGCACACGAGAGCGGGAGACGGCTCAGCTGGTAAAGGGTCCTTGCATGGCAGATGCAAGTTCAGATCTGCAGCACTTCTGTAAAGAGCTACGTATACAGAGACACATGCCTATATATTCCCGGCACTGTGGAGACGGACACAGGAGGACCCTAGGCGCTTTCTGGCTAGCCAGTCTGGCAGAGAGGGCAAGCTCTGGGGTTGGTGAAAGACCTTGCTGGGAAAAAAAAAAAAAAAAAACCTGGAAAGCAGCCAACATCAGCCTCTGGCCTCCGTGTGACCCCCCCCCTCCAACATACAGAAAGTACAAAGAAAAGTACATTAAATACAAATAAAAGGCGGGGTGCATCTCAAGATGTTTGACCGTGGCAATTAAAGTGGGAACCTGTCTGGAGGCCGACTGCGTGAACCACACCCTTGGCAAGGGAGAGCAGCCAAGCTCTGCAGCACCCTCCGCCGGCACCCCTGTCCCAAAGATGCTCCTAGGAAGAACACTGGGATGGTTGGCTGTTCAAGCCTTCCCAGGCAGCAGCTTAGGAGATTCTCTGTCTGCCAAGGGCGTTTTTACATGCTAACTTTACTGAAGTTGCAAGATGGCAACACTGACCAGCCTGTCAGATAACAACAAGCCATTTCTATTTTGTCGGCTTTTAAACTGAAGACAACAACTCATTCCAGGAAGCCAGGTGGCCATGCCACATCCCGCCAGTCATTGTGGACCTATTGAGGACAGCTGTCCAGAAATATACCTTTGTGGCTGCCTCCATCCATGAGACACCTCTGTCTCTCTCATCACCCCCCACCATTCTCTCTCTCACCTGGAAGTAGAATTTGGCCTTCTGCTCCTCTAGATTCCTCTGATGCAACCGCTTGGCCTTCCCTCTGTGACTGAGGTGATGGTGTGTGGGACTGAGGTAGCTGAGCTGCAGGCAGGGGTGGCTGGATGTGGGGCTGTGGTGACTGGGTTCTGGCCTGTGGTGAGTTGATCTTGGATTTCACTAATTGGGCCCAAGTCTGAGATGGCTGGGCCTGGGGCTCTGGTGGCAAGGCTCCAGGCAGGGATGACCGGACAGGGAGCTGCTGCAGGTTCTGGGCTGTGGGCTGTAAGGGCCTGGCACAAGCCTGTGGTGGCCCGGCTCTAGGTGGCCGTAGCTGGGCTCCCGGCTGTGGTGGCCCGGCTCTGGGTGGCCGTGGCTGGGTTTGCGGCTGCGGTGACCAGCCTCTGGGTGGCTGTTGCTGGGTTCCTGGCTGTGGTGGCTGGACTCCCAGTTGCTGTGACTCTCCCCATTGTGAGGTGGCCTGCATGTGTGTGGAAACAGATGAAGAGCAGGGTTCCCCGCTTTCATTTCTCATGCAAAAGCTATAATCAAGTCCTAACTTCCAAGACGCCTGCATTCTGTTAACAGGCAAATCTTTAAAGTAACCCAGGGGACTGGTATGATGACAACTAACCACCATATCAGTGCCTGGGTCGAAACAAGAACAACCCAATTTCAAAGTCGGCCTGGCCTACAAAGCGAGACCCTCCCTCAAAAAAATAGACGCAGAGAGGCGGCAGGCATAACTGGGAAGTTATGCAAAGGAAACAGTAGAATAAAGGCTCTAGAAGGAATCCGAAGACACTAGTCAGAGCAAGCAGATGACAGGATTTCTGTGCTCGAGGTGGCAGCGGCATGTGGAAGAAGTAGGGAGGCAAAGTGTCCGTGGACATCTCTGGGGTGCGGTCAGGATGGAGTCTGCCTGGTAGCATGCCCACAAGCATGAGTCCACACACAAGAAAGCATGGAAAGCCACTGTGCTGGCTGGGACCACCATTAGAGTATCCCAGGGCAGAGGGAGAAGAGGCCCAGTGCAAACAAAGCCTAGGGAAAGACAGGGCGGCTAGTGGGCGCGGCAGCGAGAGAAGAAAGTGATCTGCCTCCATCTTGCCACAACAAAAGGACAAATTCGAGGCCAGAAAAGCAAGCAGTCTGTGTATTTGGCAAGGAGGAGGTGCTGGGAGTTGGATGAGGCAGGTTCTCTGGAGCCTGTGGGTACAGAGCCCAGCTGACAGCTCTGCCTCAGCACTCAGAGACTCCTGAGAGGAACCTCAGAATGCACACAGATGTGGGCAGTTCTGCTTAGTGAAACCGGCTGGGGGCCGAGGGAGCCCCGAAGCAGGTGTGCCTGGCCTGAGGGGCTGCTGAAGAGGCCATGGGTGTAGGGGATCTTTGCTTTAGGACGGCTGGCCTAGGTGGCCAAGGAGACCCCGCCTGCCGACCTGCCTCTGCGTCACAAATTTAGAAATGAAAGAAGGCAACAGGACTTACATAGGCAAGGTGATTACCCTCTCCACCCAGGGCCTCCCTGGGGGTGGCTCGCAGGGGCGCCATTGAGGGAGGTTAGGGGGGCCAGATGGGGAGCATTTGATACGGGCTTCAGAGTCACCTCTGAGCTACAAGTCTCTTAGAGACTGAGAATGGTTCTAGGAAGGGGGTTAGGGGCAGGAAAAGAGATAAAAGGGATCAGACAGCAAAGGCTAGGCGGACATAGCATAGAAGAGCAGGTCACACCTTGTGTCACGAGTCACAAGTGATAAAGACAGGCTCTGCCTCCACTAAGAACCTTGGCTGAAGTCAGGGCACTTAAACAAAAACACTAAACCACAGTCCTCATCCTGTGGGTCACAACCTCTTTCCAGGGGTTATCTGAGACATTTGGGGCATCAGACATTTATGTTATGTCTCATAACAGTAGCAAAATTACAGTTATGGAGTAGCAATGAAAAAAGGTGTTTCGGATGGGGGGTGTCACCACAACATGAGGAACTGTATTAAAGGGGTGCAACATTAGGGAGGCTGAGAGCCGCTGCCCTACAGGGACTCCAGGCTGGAAACACAAAAACGTTCGAGAGTCAGAGTCAGCCTTCCCACCCATCCTGACCACCTGGCGATGGTTCCTGGGTCTCCCACACCCAGGCCCACAGTTTTGTTTGGAAAGAAATATGGAACTTTACAGGGATGTCAGCAGCTGCTCCTGGCGCCTCGGGCTGTGAGATGTTGCGGGCTTGGCTTCTGCCTCTGCTTAAAGTCCTGGCTCGGCCCAACATGGCAAGGATGATCGGCAAAGGCCCTTGAAGATGGAGGGTCTCTCAGAGACCTCCGTGAAATTGCTGGGGAACTTTCTTTAAAAAACAAAGTACAATGTCAAATAGCTACTTTCTTGTCATCCCCCAAAGACTCCCCTTGATTTCACTGATAAGCCTGGGAAAGGCTGTGGAGCACCCTAGAAACTTGAGGGAAGTTTGTTGAACACGGGTCACAGCCCCCAAACAGACTCATGAGAGAGCGGCTGTTGGGACGCTCCTTCTGAGGCACAGGTGAGTGCCTGTTCTCAGGGGGCAGGCAAAGCCAGCTCCCAGGGGCCAGTAAGGGCCCCTCAGATGTCCCCAGTGGGTCCCCTACCTGCTCATATATACCTCCACTCTTTTAGGCCTGTCTCCCAAACATGCCTCCTCCACAGAGACAGAACTTTATGAGACACGGCAACCTCTGTCCAGAGGCAACAGAAGCCTCCTTTCCAGGGTATCTGTGAGGACTCAGTCCTGTGCCAGGCCAAAGTCACCAAAGGATGCGAAAGAAAAGAACCTACCCAGCCTCCTGCAAAAGTTGCAATCGCCAAGCCAGGCCGAGCTGCAAAGGCCTCTGACCTCAATTTTAAGGCTGCAGTGGGCATCTGGCCCCACCCCCATCCTTGCCCAGATGAAACTAAACTTCACCTGCGCCTGGGTGGCTCAGGGGCTGGGTGGGGGGCAGGGTGGGGGTGGGGTGGCCTGCCCTCTTTGAGCCCATAAACAGCCCTTAGCCCTTAGGAACTCAGTAAATCCTGCAGTTACGTGCAGCTGCTGCATCCTTGGATTCAAACCGGGTCACACCTGGGGTCACTGATGCAGGGGACATTTGCAAGTAGATGCCCCTTCATTGGGGGAGTTGGGGGCATTTTTGAGTCATTAAAAAAATAACAAATGAGCCAGGTGGTGGTGGCGCACGTCTTTAATCCCAGCACTCGGTAGGCAGAGGCAGGCGGATCTCTGTGAGTTCGAGGCCAGCTTGGTCTACAAGAGCTAGTTCTAGGACAGGAACCAAAAAGGTACGGAGAAACCCTGTCTCAAAAAATCAAAAAAAAAAAAAAAAAGGACCAGGTGGGGAAGGCGTATGCCTTTAATCCCAGCACTGGGGAGGCAGAGCCAGGTGAAACTCTGTGAGTTCGAGGCCAGCCTGGTCTACAGGGCGAATGCCAGAGCAGTCAGGGCTGTTACTCAGAGAAA